TCTGACATCTGGTGAATCATTGTAAAAACCACATTTATTTTAATCGTTGCACCTCAAACAAGGCAATAAATCCACTAAAACGCAAGGGGGTTACTCAGTACGAGAGAGAATGTGAGAAAAATAAAAACATTATTAAGGAGAGAGAACAATAAAAAAAATCAGAAAATTAATACAAAAGGCAACATTGCATTTAAATCAAAGTTGAATTGAAAACAGGAAGATGGAAGAGAGTTCTATAAGCGAGAAGCGCGAGAGAAGAATCTGTTAGAATAGAACTTACGATTACAATTCAACTGTAAAATAAGACCTAACTTCCAATCTAGCACTGCTCTTAAATTTGTAAAGATGTACCAAAGATGAAAGCTCATCACAACAATTACCATGAAAGTATTTATAGAAAAAGCACAGCGAAGCTACGTTACGGTAGTGGGAAGGTGTCTGAAGCTGAGATGCCAGATCAGGACCGATGACCTTGCAGGTTCTTTGGATTTAATCAAGACTTTCTAAATTCGGCATACCAAACCAACGTGATTTAACGGTATTCGAACAGATCGTGATAGTAGTTAACAGGCAGATGGGACATTCTATTTCGCGAATTATAGGGACACTTGACATCTTTCGATCTACGCTGTCACACGTATTAATTATCAAGACCACAGGCGTCTGACTAGATTTATCTGCGGTAGCATACAAGAGACATTACATAAAATCACATCCATGTCCAATTCAGGAAATATCAAATATTCCATGGGATATGAGAGCTGGGGTCACTGTCAGGGCACTACTGTTAATACCACGATACTGTACACAGCATCCCAACCGAGCATGTGATATCGCTGATTGAATCCTGAAGAGATGATAACATTTGGCATGATCCGATGAGTTAAGATTCTAGTTGTTTTGATTTGGTGTTTGGGTTCGGGTGTGGTGTACCTCACATTTGGTCAGTTGTTAGCAAGGCAAAGTGCAGGATGATGGTGGTTCTATAATAATGTGTAAGGTGTCCACGTAGCACGATTTGAGTTCGTTGGCCAGCCCCAAAACATTATTAACCGATGAAAGCTTCATTGTACTGCTCTGTTACCTTTTGCTCTCATTAGTGGTCTCCATGTCCCCATCAACGATGGGCTATTCCAGCAGAATAATATACTATATCATCTGGCAGAAGTTGTCTAAAATTGATTTGAGTAGTATTCTGGAAACTTCTGATAAAAGGTATGGCCACAACGTTTGACTGACATTAGAGAATCCAGCTTTTATAAAACTTAGTAGAGAGGTCAGTTCGTATGAAAGAACTTGAACCTACCAAAGAATCGATAACGGTGAGCCATGCTGCGAGACGATTGCTTGCTGACAATTGGCGACAGAATATTCCAGTCTCATTTTTTTCCTGGAGCAGGTCAGGGTGAAAATGACTAATGCTACTTAAGATATTGTCATCTGTCGAAAATCCAGATCGAAGTATAAAAGAAAACAAGGGGTCAGGATTCTTTTATTAAAGTTTTAAAGCTTTTATTCGATCCAAATACACATATTGAATTATCTAATCCACTATAGTATAGGTACTACTGAAATGGATGCGTTTTTCCAAAATGAAAGCCAAAAAAAAAAAAAAAGAAGAAAAATAGAGCTATCCCCTGTTTTTAAAAATTTGCTCAAAATCGTCTGATTTAATCGAAATTTTCAGGACTTAATCTTGAATGAATGACTTGTATACTGTGTATGTTATTTTATTGAAATGTTTTTAGAAATATTTTCGTTAGTCTGTTTCATCCCACTTTTCGTTATCTCCTGTGTATTTTTAATTTGGAAGAGATCCTGAAATTTGTAGATGTTATTTATTAAAAAACTTCTGCCATATCAAGTTTGAACATACTGGAAATTTGTCCCGAAACTTACCAAAAATAATGTAATAAAAGTAAAAAAAAAAAAAAAAAATTAAAAGATTAAATTATTTTTTTTCAGATTTGATAAAAATTCTTTATTAAAAAAATTACTTGTGATTTTTCAGTGCGATTTTGAAATTAATTATTATTAAATAAAGACATCTTTGAAAAATCGAAAAATGTAAAATTTAAGGACATTTTTGAGTATAAAAGTTTTTTAAAAGAATTTTTTTCAATTTTACAACTGATAGATTATTTTTTTTTGTACGGAAGTTCAAAAAGGAAATAATTTTGTGGCTGCAATGAATTAACAGTATCAATTCACTAAGTCTATCAGTTTTCCCTTTTTGTAGCATTTCCTTTAGTTTAATAAATTTTAAAATCAGAATGACTGAAAAAGACGTAATTGTGTGCAATTAAATATTTTTCTGATAAAAGAAGCAAAAAAGCTATGAATTAAAATCAAAAGTAACATTTAAATAGTTTTTAATTAATTTCTTTTTTTTATAATGTTGATTTAGTATAAAAAATAAAATAAATCCTAAGTTTCATAGAATAAAAAATTATAATCTTAAACTATTGGTAAGTATTAGCTAACGATAATTTATTTTAAGCATAAACAACAGCAACTTTTAGATTGCAAAACTTTTGATCCTTCGAACATTTAAAGATTTTACATGCATTTTTGGTTGAGGAAGACTATTGTTGCATTGGCATAGATGACATCTTATATACTATTTTGCGTCAATAAACATTATTTTTGCTATATTTTGAAGCCAAAAGTAAGCATTACTTTTGCAAAATCTAGTTAATTAATCCTTACATTTTAGTAATTTACTTTGAAATAAATCTCTCGAACATAGACTTTAAAGAAATTTTAAAATTTGTTCATTTACTTTTTCGTCTTTAATAGAAATTGGAAGAGTCGATGAGTGACCGTACCAATTTTTTAAAAATGTCTGAAAACTTTACTTAGGCAAATTTATTTTTCTTGTTTTAGGCTATTATCTTTAAAATAAGACCAACAATTAACTTCAAAGAAGACATCTAAAGTACGTTTTCCGTTTTCCTTTTTAGGAAGTCTGTGGTGGTACCTAATCATAATATATTTAATTTTTAAGATTCCAGATTTTTCAAACTGTTATACATAAAAAAATCACCCCCCCCCAAAAAAAACAACAAAACAAACGAAACAACTTCACTATAAACCAGATAACTAAACAGAAATCAGGGGTTAATAGCTTAAAAAAAAAAAGAAAAAACAAAAACAAAACAAAAACGAAATATTGCTGACAGTAATTCATAGTAAGGAGTTACTGCGTTTATATTGAAAAAGTTGTTTTTAAAATTATGATTCGATTTTTAACTTTGATTTCTATATTAATATTTTCTATGAGGCCGTTAATTTTATTGAAAAACTACCACCAAAAATTCACTAAAATAATTATACATGACAAATCATGATGATGATCATGATGATGATGATGATCATGATCATCATCATGATGATCATCATGATCCTCATCAATACTATCAATATTATTACTCTTTCGTTGTTCGTTGCCCATATATCACCATAATTATTATCCCAACCCTTAAAATCTAAAACTGGTTCCTAATTTCGATTAGATTTGCAATCTCTCTGACTTTTCTTTTTGCTCTAACAATCATCATCATCATCATCATCATCATCATAAAAAATCTTGTTGTTTGGACGTGAAAGTGAAATATTGGATTTAAGCAGGACAATGTTTTTTTGTTCTTCAGTAAAAAAAATTCCCTGATTCGGAAAGTTTTTCAAAAATTAAGTAATTTTCGGATTTTAATGAAACTTCCAGGACGTATTCAGAAATTATTATTTTTAAAAAATGTTTCCTTTCTAAAAACCCTTTGTAAAAATTTAAAAAACTCTTTTATCACTCCTCTTCATTTAATTTTAAGAAATTTCGAGAAATTCATTTTTGTAGCGTAATATGCTTATGTGTTATAAAGACAAGTTCTCAGTGAATTTTTTAAATCAAAATTTTTGGTCAATCAAGATCTTTAGTCGCTGAAAGTTTGCAATGAATTGTAAAATAAAAGAAAGACAGTAAAAGTAAGGCATTTATTTTATTTGAAAAGATTTTTAATTGCTTTTATTAATAAAATAATTGCCTTTATACATTTTTTTTCTCTAAATAATACATTTTTAAATGAGTTGTTTTCATTTTTTAAAATTTTAATTAATAAGAATCTACCAAGAAGATAGGAAGAGTGTTCTCCCTTAGCATTTAAGCATTAACTTTGTTCCACTCACATTGTTTATGAGAAAATGCAAATAATATGGCAGACACGATTAATAATTGTCACTTGTTATACACAATGCAACATAGTGAGAGAAAGTTCCAGATATTTTAGCCGGTATCCTGCTTGTAATAAGATCGACTATCAGTGTCAGATTTTAGATTTTATGAGACAAGCTGCATAAACCTAACTTTAAAAAATCTTTTTAGGCCTCTGTAGATTATGGAGCCCTAACCTGTAGTTTGTTTATATAGTTTACTGTTACATTATGTTAAAAATATTGCTCCAGTACGACGTATGATATGAAACAATACGAGTATTTTTAAAAATCTATTTTTTAAATCTTTTTTTTTTTATCACAAAGATAAGGTCATTTTTCAGGATATGTTATAATGTGTCATAGGAGTAACGGTATTACAGTTAATCATTCTTTTCAGTGAATACTAGACCATCACATCATAGATAGAGAAGAGTTTGAAGCAATAGAAATGTGATTCTACAGAAGGATGCTGAGAATACCATGGAACAAACATGCGAGCAGCAACAAAATTTTAGAGAAAATAGAAACAAAAAGGACACTCATCAGAAAGAGAAAGTTGAAATTTCTAGAGCGCATAATGAGGAAAGAGGGCTTGGAAAATTTGATACTCGCAGAACATATTGAAGAGGGACAGAGGAAAGTAGCGCAAAACCTGCCTAACAAGGAAGTGTGAATGGTTAGCAGAACAGGTATTAGGAGAGATCCCAAAAAAGACAAACTTTAATAAGTGCTAAAAAGGACAGGATTTTGTGGAGAGCCATGATGGCCTACATCCTGAAGAGACACAGCACTTAGAAGAAGAAGAAGAAGAAGAAAAAGAAGAAGAAGAAGAAAAAAAAGAAGAAAAAGAAGAAGAAGAAGAAGAAGAAGAAGAAAAAGAAGAAGAAGAAGAAGAAGAATGTAATGTGGGAAGAATGTCGTATTATGACTAAATTCGAATTTCCCTGTGGACAAATAGATATATTAGACGAGCTCTAAAGATATGTGATGTAAATTCATATTCTCGTTGAAGACTACTTCTTTATTAATGATTTATGTGGCGTAAAAAGAAAAAAAAACATAAATAATCTGAGCATTATGATAAAAGAATAGCATAAATTTGTCTAAAATCCTATTATAATTGTACTTGTCCTTCTCTTCGTTAGTTCGCACGGCCATTACACCCTGCCAGCACTTCGTAAATAATGGACTATTTTGTTTTGATCGCGTGGAAAGATGGGAAAAGGCACTACTTGGTTTCAGTGAGAAAATAAAAGAAAGAAAGAAAGAAAGAAAGAAAGAAAGAAAGACGTGTTTAAAATGTCCTACCAATACTTCATAGATAATAGACTATTTTTTTTGATCGCGTGGAAAGAGGAGAAAAGACACTACTTAGTTTCAGTGAGAAAATAAAAGAAAGAAAGAAAGAAAGAAGTGTTTAAAATGTCCTGCCAATACTTCATAGATAATAGACTATTTTTTGATCGCGTGGAAAGAGGAGAAAAGACACAACTTAGTTTCAGTGAGAAAATAAAAGAAAGAAAGAAAGAAATAAAGAAAGAAAGAAAGAAGTGTTTAAAATGTCCTGCCAATACTTCATAGATAATAGACTATTTTTTTTTTGATCGCGTGGAAAGAGTTGAAAAGACATTACATAGTTTCAGTGAACTGAAGTAATGAATAAAAGAAAGAAATAAAGAAAGAATGAAAGGAGGGAAGATAGAAATGTTGGACACTTGTTTCAGTGAAATGGAAAATGTTGTCAATTTCCAATCTTTTCATTTGTACACATTTCTTAAAATAACGACCAACATTCCTATTTATAATTGTTGCTTCAATATTTTGTTAAAGTTGTTAAGCTCAAATATTTAACGGTGCGAATTTCTGTGGATATTTTATTGTCGTAGAATTCGCCATGCGCTTATTCAATCATTAACTTAAGAATTAAGATTCATCAGAAATTTAAAATAGGAAAACCGTGAAATTTTCACAAGTTAAAACTACAGGGTGCCCAGTAAAAAAAGCGGAAAATTTATTACCACTATTTTATCTTTCAGGAATAATTGACCATAAATAACCTTGAATAAATTTCTTCAATATTTATGACCTTGAATAATCATTGGACTCTCGCGTAATTACTTAACCATGATTGATTCGTTTATGATTGATTAATTGCTGCTTGATCTTGTGACTCGTGATTTAAATCTTATTTGCAGACAACTTTCGTTCTGCCCTTCTCGTATGGCTAAAGAATTCACTGATTTTGTGCGTCAAGTTATGGTACTTTTCAAAAAAGAACATCCGACTTGGGGATTGACGAAATGTATAGAAATTCTTCCTGAATTTTTCAGTCACATCACTTGTCATCAGTTTTCAACGGTTGTCGCATGTCTTTCTGATTTTACCGCTTTTTTACTGGTCACCCTGTAGTTAATAATAAATGTGCTTCATGTAAGAAAATCGGACAGTAATTATTATTTTTTACTTTAGTCGACGAAACATTTTCAATTAAAGTATTTCCTTCATTTTGATTGTTGTTTCTTTTTTTCTTTAATTTTAAAAAAAATCTCAGTCTGTCATAAAATGCAAGCAACGCGAGTTGGAAATAATAAAAAAATCCCCTGTGAGACACAAGAAACAGCAGTCATGTTAAGACGAATTTCCAAAAGAAACGAGTGATTTTAATATTTTATTTTTATTATTTTATTTTATATATTTGAGCTTAACAACTTTATCAAAATATTGAAGCAACAATTATAAATAGGAATGTTGGTCGTTACTTTAAGAAATGTGTACAAATGAAAAGATTGGAAATTGACAACATTTTCCATTTCACTGAAACAAATGTTCAACATATTTAATTTTCAATAAATGCTAAGAAATATATGTAATTATGAAATGTAATTAATATATTTATTATATATATATATATATATATATATATATATATATATATATTGATATTAAATAAATATATATATATATATATATATATATATATATATATATATATATTGACGCGAATAAAAAAATCAAAAAATCAAATTAATTGTCTATTATAAAAAATTAAGGACAGCTAACCTTATCCTCAAAATAACAACACACCAGCTAAGTCAAAATTGCAAAGAACGAACATTATCTATGAGTTCAAATGC